ATATGTGTGTATATGTGTGTATGTCTATCCCACATTTTTCTAGCTTACCAAGAAGTAAGTTATGGTCTACTTTGTTGCATGCCTTGCTGACGTCTAAGTATACTATGTCCACAGCATTTCACTGGTCTACTAATTTAGCCACTTTGTCAAAGAATGAAATAAGATAGATTTGGCATGATCGGTTTTTAACAAATCCATTCTGGCTTGTAGTTATAACTTTGTTTCTAGATGTTCACAGATCTGTTTTTTTGGTTATCCTTTCCAGTATCTTCCCAGGTATTGATGTTAGGCTGATTGGTCTGTAGTTTCCTGGGTGTGTTTCTGTAGTTTCCTGGATCTGTTTTTGAAAATGAACTCGAAAAAATAGTTGATTGCACACTGAACACAATTCCACAATATGATATGGCTGCAGAAAATTCAGATCTGTTTCAGTTTTCATCAACAGTAATATCATTTACAAAACCCATGAAGAAATCATCCTGGCTTTTTTTAATCATTTATATGTTTGTAGTATATTTGCTACATAATTTGCTTTCATGGCCCCAAGTTAATTGCATTTTATTTAATATGTTTCTAAAATATTTGCTTCTTTTGGGAAAATTCACGGAGGGGAGACAAGGATATATGCAAAATTGAACCAGCTTCTAAACAACAATTCCAGGTTTTAACATTAAATATACCAAATACACTTAGCGTAATTGTAATTGTTAGATAGGCCATTCTAGCATTCTTTTTTTAGTTGGTGAGTCTCATAAACTCTGCACTGCCTTCCAACTAATGGTACATACTGTATGCCTTTGGTGACTAGGGAGAGTAGGTTGAAAAATGCTATGAAACCAGTATGTAAGCAATTCCAGTTTCTCCCAGTATAAGTACTACTTCAGCAGTAGTAATATCCTTGGTTTAGTGCTTTCTCTCATGAGAGACAAGAGGAAAATCTTTCCATATAAGTAAAAAACAAAATAAAACATGGAAATTGCTGTGGTTGTGAATATTTACCAATGTTGCTGAATGCTGCAAGACTTAAGATTAACCACGTCCTTTTGACAAGCTGTATAAGCAACTATCACTTCTCTTATTTTATTTTCTTGAGAGAGAAAAAAGGGGGAGGGAGTAGTGTTTCCAAGGATAATCTTGTAATATTTTCATGAAAATAAAGAAATTATTTCAATAATGTAGTATCATAGCCCCCAAACCCAAGAATAAATAGCCTTTGCATAGGAACAGGAGATTTAATAGAAATAGAATAGAAAAGTTAGGCATCCTTTAAGTTTTAAAAGAAAAAAGTTAAGCTTCCTCAGAATGACGTTATGGAATGCTTTTGACCATTGGGCGGGAACACCTACATGAAAAGCAGGTTTACCATCATGTTGGTAGTGGCTGACCCCAAATGCTAAGCAGAATATAGAATAACAAAGTTTGAAGAAAACTGGAGGTCTTCTAGTCCAACCCTCCTGCTCAAGTATACCATTCCAAACAAATAGCTATTCAATCTCTTCCTAAAAACTTCCAGTGATGGAGCACCCACAACTTCTAGAGGGAAACCATTCCATTGATTAATTGCTGTCACTGTCAGGAAATTTCTCCTTAGTTCAAAGTTTCATCTCTCCTTGATAAGTTACTTCTTTTTATTGAGAGAGAAAGAGAAAAATAAATAAACAATCAAATTCCAGGTTTAAAATGCCTAATAACCCAATGATGTCTAAATAAATTAGGTTTTATGCAGTGCTGGGTCTGTTTTATTTTACAGTGAAAGAGATTTGTTGGTTGGTTAAAAATGTTTACATGAATTTTAGTCAATTTATAATTCTTGTAGTTATGTAAATTTTTAAAATTAACCATTTTAAAGAGCAATTAAAAACCATTTATGAGCCACGATGGCACAGTGGTTAGAGTGCAGTACTGCAGGCTACTTCAGCTGCAGTTTGGCAGTTCAAATCTCACCAGCTCAAGGTTGTCTCAGCCTTCCCTCTTCCCAAGGTGGGTAAAATGAGGATCCAGATTGTTGGGGGCAATATGCTGACTCTGTAAACCGCTTAGAGAGGGCTGTAAAATACGGTGAAGTGGTATGTAAGTCTAAGTGCTATTGGTATTGCTATTTCCTTTCAAGTAGATTAATCTTCCTTTTTTGTTTCTTAAAGATATCCTTATCTAGTATTGCTCTACGTAAAAAAATATCGGTATATGCCTGAATGTATTATTCATATTGGGAAAGTTAAAAGTGAATTTAAAGGAATAGATTTAGTTTTCTCAACTTAGTACTCTCTAGAACTGTTGTGAGTCTGTTTCTAGCCTTAACTGAGTAGGAATTCTCCAATTTGGTTCCCAAACATATCTGAAAAGCATGAGATTATGGATAGCTAATACAGATCCCTTAGTAGTTAGTAATTTACCTCCTCCAATAGTGACTTTATGAATGAATGAATGAATGAATGAATGAATGTATGTATGTATGTATGTATGTATGTATGTATGTATGTATTGTGTCACAACCCCTGGTATGCCCAAATATGGGAGGAAGCATACTGCTTCCCTTTTCTGTCTATCGGCTCACTCTGGGAGCCATCCAGGCAGAAAGCCATTTTTTTTATGTTGCCTTGTTACATTTGTGTTGCAATTGTGCTGATAAATAATATGTAATACAGCCCAAGTTCGATTCTCAGTAAGGGTATGGCTAGCTGATGAGAGCTAAATAGCTTGAAATAGATCTATACTAGTCTCCCTTTATTTATTTATCAGCACAAATGCTATACACATACACACACAAACACACATACATAAATACACTGTAGCTTGAAAAGTCTTGGATCTTTGGCAGGATAACAGGTGTAGAAAGATAACATAGATATCTTGTGTTAGACAAATGCCTGCATTTACAGTTAAGCAGAAACTTGTAGAGAATCATGAAGGACTAGAGGAAAAAAGAAAAAAAACTATTGCATAAGCAAAGAGGGCTGAAACATTCCTTAACTGCTGGGAAGGAAGATAGTTTTCAGAGGAGACTCAGGCAGACTCCTCTTTGATTCACTGGGATGTATGAGGAGGGGATGTAAAGCATATTCAGGCTTGCAAGATCCTGTTACTATAACCTATCTCAGTTAACTACAGTTCTAATTAAATCTAGTCCTGTGGAGTCGGTTTCCTGATTTGGTTGAGTTCCCTGAGCAGTAGCCAAGTAACTATGTTTCCAACTTCTTAGAGGGGCTACTTCATTTTTTCCTGTTTGATTCACGTAGAGCAGGGGTATCAAACTCAGGTTGTCACATTGCCGTCAGGTGACGTATCACAACTTTTTCCCCCTTTGCTAAACTGGGGGTCAGCATGGACATCACGTGATGCATCCGGCCCATGGGCCACGAGTTTGACACCCCTGATGTAGAGCATCTGTCCTTTTTTTTTAAAAAAAAACCCTTTTCCTTCAATGTAATTTTTAGAGTACTAGTTGGGGAGAAAAATACATGTTTGCTTTTATTCATGAAAAAGATAGGTGATGATATGAGCTAATTGACTCAGATCTATGACTATAACATGCTATTTTGAAAGCTAAATTTAATTTTTATGGAAGAAAATAAGAGACTGAGAAGAATTGAGCAGAATTGTTATTTTCTACATTGGAGTTCTGGAGTGTTCCAGCTAGTAATTAAGCCATTTGAAGTAGATCCATGAAAGTTAAAGAAAATCTGGATTATGTGAAAAAATTAAGACAGCGTAGTCATTTAAAACTAAAATTAAACTTTGTGTTCCTTTTTACTAATTAGATTCTCTGTTTCTCTTCTGTAACATTTCCAGAAAATATTTATGGCATTTTCAAAGCCTGAGAAGCTGTGAAGTCTCTCTCTGCTTTCAGCAAGCGGTTATTCACACTGCAAACAGTGGCTTTATATTATGCTGTGGTTTGTTGATGAAGTCGTAATAGAATTTACGCATTAAACAATAGTCCATGCTTTACATAGTACGTGTATAGGTTTTCAACAATGTCAAAACAAGCAAGACACAAAATTGAACCCTTTGCCTTTAAACAAACCACTTTCTCTCATTCTCTCTCCTATTCACTCATCTACACAATTCTGTTGACAATTAAAGTGGTCTGTAAAAGAGATTAATAAGATGGTAGAAAAGAGTTTAATTTCTACCAAGAAGATGTATATAAACACATTTGAGTACTCCTGAACATAATGGAAAAGTTAATGTTACCAACTGCAGATCTTCTTTAAAATCTCTTTAAAATTCTAATTTTGTAAAAATGTCATGGGTATCTATCCACAACATGAAATCTTAACAGATGGGCAAACTGATGAATTAAAAGATAAGTAATTTGCCCAGGAACTCAAATATATGGCAAAGGCCTAAGTATTAGGATCAAGACTTGTAGTTGAAACCATAGTTCAACTTTGAACCTATAATTCTCAATCAACTTTTTTTTTCAAATCATTGTTTCTACTGCATACATAAACTTTTTTTTTTCTCTTCAATTGTTCCCATCAATGTTCTGGCTTTATTCTATTCAGTCTATAACTGTATATTTTTTATTGCTATCTCTAAACCTTCAATTTTTACCAGGCAGTAGAAATGCGGTCCATACTATCTGTTTTCCATTAAAATGTCCATTCATAAAGCTGACAGTCAGCCTTTGATGCATTTCCAAGCGCCTACTATTTTGATTAAATACAATGTTTGTATAAATCACAGGTGTGTTTGTTTTTCAGGCTCTGATCCAGCTGCCACCATACATCTCTCAGTGTGATGAGGTTCTTCGGTTTTTTGAGACAAGGCCAGAGGACCTAAATCCTCCTAAAGAGTAAGTTATTGTAAATAGGTTATAGTTTTGTCTGTGTCTGTGTGTGTGTATGAGAGAGAGAGAGAGTAAATTGAGAGAGGGAATGACAACACACAGATTTTTATCCGTGAAAAATGAAATGTAACAATGAATGTCAGACCTATCCATTGTATGTAGAAAATAGACATTTTGCAATAATATTTTATTAACAAAAATAAATACAGTAGTACTTTGGTATTCAACTGAATATCAAATTCATTGAAACTCATTGGATTTGGTACTCAATGCATTTTAACATGAAAATTTTGTCCTGGTATTTATTGTTTGTTACTCTATACACAAGCTAAAGCTCAATGCTGTTGGCTGCATTGTGACTCACCTCATTGTTCCTTATGGGAAAATTTGTTTGGTATTCATCATTTTTGATACTCATCACGCCTCCTGGAACTAATTAATGATGAGTCCCAAGATACCACTGTACAAGAGTTTAAAATAAATTAGCTTAGACAAACCTGAAATCTATTTTTTTTCAACCAAAACAGTTGTATTTCTGACATCTGTCCATTGCACACAAAATGTTACCTATCATCTTCATAAAGATAAGAGAGGGTGATAACTTTTTGTATATGATATCAACAGGTTGATATCAGGGGATTCTAAAAGGGATAGTGGAGTTTCAAATATTAAGCTTACTGAAGATGATGCATGTTTGTTCATGTTGTCACCTGGAGCTGAACCCAAGTTGACTGCATCTATCTAATTGCTTTGGAGTCTGGTCTCATGTATTTATAAGCCAGGTTTTACTACTATGGAAGAGGCTTGCTAAGTTTTAACTGAAACCTTTGATTACCTCTTTGGGGAATTAAGTAGCAATTGTGTTTTAGAATATGCAGGCTGATTTATTTGCAGAAAGAGTGCTATTTCTGGCAGAGAGAGAAGTAATCTTGGAATTGTAGAACCACTGAGTGAACAGAAAGGATGGGAGAGCTGTAGATCTGATAATCATATTCTTGTAATGATAAGAGTAAAGAAGGGAATTAGAATTGTTTTAAGACCCAAGTTGTTATATTTTATCTGATTTTTCAAAAGATGTAAACACTCTGTAGCAACCAAATTCAATAGATAACCTTTGTAGACGATAATCTGACCTTTCTCCAACTGTAATACAAAGTGATGGAAGGAGGATAGAGTGTGATAGGCAGACAACGGAAAAGGAAGATTGTGAGGTTCTTGGTGCTCTCTGAGGTTGTTTTCCTGCAGAGGTTTCATTACCAACTAGTGATAATGTTATCTTTAACGAAACCTCTGCAAGACAACAACCAAGCTCAGAGAGCACCAAAAACCTCACAATTCAAACCTGAGCTACAAATATTCTCTTTGTATTTGAAGCTGTCAAGTTGGCTTGTTAGTATGTTCTCTGTCACTTTACAGCTGTCAAAATTCACTCAATGGAGTGGCTGTGGAGCATATCTTAAGTCTGCATTTCAGTATTAAGGGGTTTGTTTTTTGTTTTTGATAAAACAGTGCTACAGTATTTTTTGTGAGTTTACCACTGCTGCTGACAAGATCTAAATCACTACTTCAGAGGAAAGGATGCATTATTTCTCCCACCAGTTTCTGTATCCTATGTCTCAACCATTTCACACTTAGAAGTAAAATGCCAGTTACTTGTTTTCTCACTTATTCTTTTTTGGTCACTTTAGCATCTCATTTAAACCTGCCATTCATGGTGCTTTATGCTGTTCCAATAGCAATGAATTTTGGAATTGCTTACTTTTTCCATTAATGAAAATGGGCATATATCAGTGAGTTATAAAGTTATAAACTTCAGCAGTAGGAAAATATATTACCATGTCTAATTGTATACAACTGTTTTATATTTTAAAAAAACAACAACCAAGAGCAAAAAGCATTTTCTTGTTATTAATTTCTTGAGTAACTTATATTGACAAACAGCAAACCCATGTGTGTGTTTTCCTTGCAAAACAAGGATATTTGCAATCCATTCTGTGCCTATCCTTGCCTGATGCAACATTTGCCTTGTGACTATCAGCTGCCTGTGGCTTGTTAACCATTTTGAGCATAAATATAACCCATTCACCATCATCTGTATGGAATGCACAGTTATGCAAAGATATTGTGCAAATTGATGTTGAGAAATACTTTACTGGATAGATTAGAAGAGCTGTTATTCTCTCTATCTTAGCACAGATCCTTCCAACACCCATGTCGTTTACAAAGAATTGTTTTCAATCAGCTAGATTTTCTTTCTGCATCTGTCTTTGAAAACTTTATATTTCTGTCTTCTTTCATCCTTTTTCATATTGTTTGCTTAGCCAATTTGTTTCTCTTAGCCATTTGATTCAATTGGTGCAAAATCCCAGAGCCTATTAACTATGCTGCTTTCTTTTGTCAACTGGGTTTTTCCCCTTTAGCTTCCTTTCCTTCTGTCAATTCATCAGCTAATGCATTGAAAGACACAAAGAGAAACACGGGCTTATTGAATAGTATAGAGACACTTATATGGCTGCTTTTAGAATAGAACCATATTTTTTGCCTTATCAAAGGAGGAGTGGAATAATAGAAAGATATTGTTTCATAGGTGCTGAGGCTTTATGTTTTCTGAAATTCAGTTTTGCTGCTGTAGGAGAGAACCTTGAATGGGCTTTCCCTCCCTCCCTTCGTGCCTCCCTATAGAACTGAGCTGAGCCACAATTGTTAATAAAATTGTTGAGTTTTCTGTATCTACCTATACAGGTAAATGTGTGCTTTCTTCGTTACTTTCACTTCTTGATTTCTAGTATTTGTGAATCTACATCTTTTGTAGACTGAATCTTTGACCTTTGCTGAATTACTCTTCTACTCTGTTCTCCAATGCCATTGGGACTGTATGTATGGTAACATTGGTTTGGGAGATATTGGAAACACCAATAACATGTATATGGATGACACTAACCTGAAAGCCTAAAAACATAAAGGGTCTGCAGACTGTAATAATAAAAGTCAAGAAGCGCAGTGAAAAAATAGGGCTATGATTAATTATAAAAAAGACCAAATTAATGATTGTTGGTACAACCAGCCTGAGAACTGTCAATGGAGGCATTGAAGTAACAGATATTTTCTGCCTTTTGAATTAACCATCAACACTAAAGGAACAAGTAATCAAGTAATACACCATAGACTAACACTTGGTAAAGCAGCCATGAAGCCCTGGGAAAATATATTCAAATATTGTGTCTATATCTACAAAGATCAGAATCTTGTAAGCCATGATATTCTTTGGAATTCTCTGTAGAAGTGAAAATTGGACTTTGAGAAAGCAAGATGAGAAGAGTACTGATACTTTAAAACTCTGGTGTTGGAGAAGACTCTTGAGAATACCATGGACAGCCAAGAAAACAAACAAATGAACCATTGAACAAGTCAACCTGGACTTTTCACTTGAAACACAAATGGCCAAGCTCAAATTATCCCTCTTTGGATCCATTATGCAAAGACGTAGCTCTCAGGAGAAACTCTAATGCTGGGAAAGATAGAAGGAAAGAAGAAGATGATCAGCAGCTAGGTAGATAGACCTAACTATAGTGACAATATGTATACCGTTGGAAGACCTGAAAGAAAGGTTAAAGGCAGATCATCATGGAGAAAATCTATCTGTGTGATTAGTAAGAGTTGATAGCAACTTGAGAGTACATAATTAGTCATGTCCAGTCTATTGCACTGCTATTGAAGTACCATTAAATGGGAACACAAGCTCAAAATATTGTATTAGAGTATTTGTAGTAGTTTCTTTTCTAATTAGCTTCCCACACATAATTGCCACGTTGAATTGATCAAGATGTTGCCTTGGAAACTTTTTCACCTGGGCTCCTGCTTCTTTCTTTAATGATCTGGATGGTTTGATGGGCTACAATGTGATTTCTTTCCCTGTTCTAATGCAATACTTTTATGTAAGAGGCATGTAAGGAATTACATGTAGTCTTTGCATATTGACTACTTCTTCAACAACTATTCAAAAGTGTGACAGTGCTGAACAAGTGGTACTTATTACCGGTCCTCAAAATTCCTGTAGCATCCCGGAGGTCATGTGATTTCAATTCAGGTGCCTTGCAACCTGCTCACATTCAGCATCACATGATCACTGTTGGCAATTTTCCCCGCCAGTTTCCCACAAGCAAAGTCAGTGGGAAAAGTCACAAGCTGTTCTGGCAAGTTCTCCCAGCCTTGTGTATACTTTCCATTTCTTGGTCTTCCTGTGCTTGTGCACAGACTGCATGAGGCCTCCTAAGCTATCTGCAAGCTCATGCATGGTCTGCAAAGGCCCTTCTCAACCTCCCCCCAAAGCACTTCCCCCCTTGTGGCATCCCTGGACTCTTAATTGGGACATGCTTCTCATTTAATGACCCATGCAGTTTAGAGTTATGACAGAAACCAGAACTGCCAAGATTGTTGTTACTTTACTAAGCAATGAGATCCTTTCTCAATTGTCATAATTTGAAGACTGCCTGTGCATTGTAGCTTCCTAGGCACCAATGTGAACATCCACTCTTTAGAAAGCAGTAGAACTGTAAGATGTGTTTATAAAAGTATCACAGCATTTCAGAAAGACCTGATATGTCTTATTCCAGAATGCCAAGCATGGAATAATACATTTAAATTACAGGAAAGTAGACACTAATTGAAACTTGGAGGGGGGGTGTCCTAACAAAGCAGCTGGATAGTCGAACCAATTGCCCTGAGAGATGGCAGCCTCCCCTTCATAGCTGAGTTCAAGCAGAGGCTAAACAGACACATTTTTGGGACACCTCAATTTGGATCCCTGCACTGAGCAGAAGAGATGGACTTAACAGCCTCTTCTGTCTCTGTGGTTCTTTGCAGTCTGTCTTTCCTTTGTTTAAGAGGCTTTCCCTCTCATGTTAAGAAACAGAGGTTGCATCAGACAGGACACAAAGAGGTTGCTGAGTCAAAGGATTCATTCAGCTACTAAGAGTCCTCAGCTGAAAGCCTGGAGCTTTCATTGG